TCTATCTGGGACTCAGGACTCAGTAGCTAAGTGGATAACGTAATGGTGTTTGGAGTAAACATTGCTGGGTTGAAGTCCTAGAGTGAACATCAATTCTAGGATGAAGGTACATCCAGCTGACAAGTCTCAAATATGACGAAATTCACGTTCTGCATTCCACTATTAGCCACCATCCAATCAGTCTCAATGTAATCTGTTTACTATTAGACTTCAACATTCTAAGTTTAACTCCTAATTAGGTGGTGAATACTCATTACTGTAAAGTCTTAAATGAAGTAATTGTCCATTGTTGCCTGGTTTCAATAATTGTCTCACTAGTAACAATCTCTACAACCCTCTATAATGAATATTAAATCTTCTGAGAATGTATATTTGTTCAAATTATTTTGAAAAATTTTGACAATTTGTCTTCTTATTCAATTCTAAGTTATATATGACACCATTTAATAGTGAATGTCATTCTCAATTATTTTCCTATAATAGTTGTCATTGAAATGATTAATTCATAATAGTTTAAATATTCTATTTAATGTCAAATGAAATTAATATTATGTTACCAAGGTCACGACAAATACAGAAATTTGTCATTATTAGCATGAGTTTGCATTATCCTTTTGTTGACATGATGGACTGAGGATTTGAACTGTCCTGAATTGACTTATGTGTATCCTGAAAGATTTGTCATGATGTAGCCAATTTTTGTTGTGCTTTTTTACAAAATTGTGGAGATTGTAGTAATGTCACTAATTGACATCATGAATCAATTGAAGTTAGACCACCATGGAAAACCTGGAAGCATTAGACAGCCATTTCATCCTATTTTGAAGATAGATAGATTGTGATTCGTAGGGGAGTAATAGAAAATGCTTTTTAGTTTGATGTATTAGTATCCAATTGTTAGTTTTCTCATTAGTTTTATTGAAGTAATTCGTACAGGATACAAACATCGTTTAGATATTTAGATGTATTTAAAGTTGGTTAGTCTAAAATAGGGTAGCACTTACATTCTGAATTTCACTAGTAACAACAATTTATTTATTTTGATTCAATAAAGTATATTTATACCTATTTTGAGATTGATAAACATTATGATTCCTGATATTTTCCTTAATCTACATAAGAAGTAAGTAGTGAAATACAGATGGTTGGATATTTCTTAATTCAGGTAAATTCTAAAAATATCATCAGTTTTAAAATCTGAGGTTTTTGTTATATCTAGATGCTTATATTCTTGTTGTACCGCGTATACCTTGATCACTAGAACGCTAGAACCCTTCCAAATCGCAATGAGAAGACAGAAGACAAGTGAAAGGAATGTTATTCCAGACAGTGTCAATTATAGTACAAAATTGTCAGGTATTTATAGTTGTTAGTAAGAAACGAAATCAGTATTACAGTCCTCCAACCCGCACACCGAGGGTTAGCATTATCCAATTGGGAAGCTACACGCAAGGATTCTAGAATATTCCTCCGAAAGGTGGTTGGATGGAATATCTTCAGCCCTTTCTGAGCTTCTTACAGCTTCCTCGAGTTCATCCATGGACCGTCCTCACAGTTTTGTGTTAAAAAACATAATTCAAAAAGGGAACTTGATCAGTTTAATCTGTTGGTCAATTTACTCAATTACTTTACTTATTTACGCCGATCAGGATTTTCTAACCAAATCTCTTCTGGGCTCTCATTTCCAGTTGTTTCCAGGTGCTGTTCATTTTTTTATGTCTGTCTTAAATTCCAGACGCAGTGTGTTGTTGTGTCTTTTTCTTTTCCATTTGCCTTCAGGATTCCACTTCATAGTTTGCCTCGTGATTCAGTTTGATGATTTCCGCAAGTATGTCATATCAAACTTCAGAGTCGTTTCCTAATTTCCTTTTCAACTGAAAGTCGGTAAGTCCTCTCCCATAGTATATTGTTGCCTATGATATCCTCCTGTAGCTCTTCTAGGATTATTGCCGGTCCCAAGCCCAAACAAAGGAAAAGGGTTACGCATGGGATCTGTAACCCCATCAAGTATAAAGTAACTTTGCTGAAGAAAAACACTAACCAGAAAAAATCATTTGGTTGAAGATACTTGGCAGAAATTGCTAGAATTATATTTAGTGTAAGGTGGCAGCCATCAGCAATGCGTATTTGAAATTCGATGAAAAATAATACTCTGTCAAAGATTTTAGATTATGGCACCTAATTTGATAGTTGAAACTATTACCAGCATTCAAAGTGAGACTTTGATTTATTAATGACGTTTGAGCGACGTCAAAGTGACCTTGAAAATATTCGCCAATCAACTAAGATCTATAGAGAGTTGAAAATTAGCGTGAGAATTCACGATCGCGATTCAAAGTTACAAGTTAGGATTGAGAATTAGAGCTAGGGTTTTCATCACAAACTGATATGATCTATAGTGCTGAAATACTATTCAGCCATGTGGATGAATGAATTTTGTACCAGAATTCAAGATTCATAATCCTAGAACTGATTGATTCGTCCACAAATTCTATTCTTACCGATATTCAGTATGAGATCGGTTTTAGATAAACCGTTTGAAAGTAATAATACCAGAAAAAGAACGTTTCAACATGATTGAATCATCTCTTTGTGTTAAGGACGTTAGATCCCCAGAAATCTCTTGGGAAACCACCTAACTTTGTAATTTTATTTAGAAAATTTGAATTTCTTTGTTTTCGCGCCAGAGGCGCTTTTGTAACCTTCATGTCGTATTTCTCACTGGGAAATATCTTAAATGCTATTGGTCCGTTGCGTTTTTTAGTATGCTATTTGGTAACTCTCATCAAGGACGGTTTTGCACTGTATATATACGTTTTGAATTGTGTTTGTTGTTATCACTCGTTTCTGGCTGTTTGCAGAATATACTTTCACATTCCAAGCTTGTACTTCTCCCTCTAGTTAGAGGGGCTGGGACGCATCAAATGCTAGCTTACTGGTCTCGGTCACTGAGTCTTTGTTCTCGTTCGCAGATCAAGTGAACTCGTGTTAGTTTCAAACCTAACACTTTGACATTTTCAACTTTATTTAATGTTACTTATAATGAGATTTAAGACAAAATTATTAGATAAGTCATATGGATTATTTATTTAATAACCGCTGAAGCAATCTTGATAACGAAATCAAACGTTTTCTAGTCAATTCTTGTCAATATTAATAAGGCAACCTATAAATAGAAAATATTTCACTGGTAAAGGTTGATGGAGGATACTCGTTTGAATTATTCATTTCTCTTGTTAGGAACGTAATCAGGATTGATTTTATTGACATATGTAATTGATAACTTTAGGAGAGTTTAAAAGATACGATTTCAACGGCTAATGAGTTAAGAACTAAGTTGTAATCTCCAGAAAGTACAATCTGATGCAAAGTTTCTTACTGAAAATCAGCAGAGTTACTATGTACAGTAAGAAGGAATTAAAGTCGACTAAACCTCATTTTATTTATTTAGTGATGATTCTTTTACAAAAATGAGTCTTTAAACCCTCATTTGGTGGTTTAATGGTAATGCTATAGATACAAGATCCATAAGTCTTGTGTTCAGTTACAGGTGAATTCATTGGTGAGTATTGTTTAGTTATCTTATATTGGAAGGAAATAATTGTCGACTTTCATCTCATTATTAACAATATCTCAACCGATACTAATTCAAAGTCACAAGTTTTATAAGCAAAGATGGTTAGTTGTTAATAGTGAAATCGAGGACGCGCGTTTCATCCTACTCAGGACTCATTAGTTGGATTCACCTGCATCCTGAAGTTGATGTTCACTCCGGAACATTGTACAAGCAGGTGGCTATCAGGACTCAGTAGCTAAGTGGATAACGCAATGGTGTTTGAAATGAACGGTACTGGATCCGTGTCCCAGAGTGAACATCAACTCTGAGATGTAGGTACATCCAGCTAACGAGTCGGAAATATGACGAAACTTGTGTCCTGGATTTCACTACTAGCCACTATCCATCTTTACTTATAAAGCTAGTAGCTTAAGGCAATATGGAGGCAGTATGTACATATGCTAGCAAGAGACTGATCAATTGCAGTCCTACAAAACAATGGGAACATTCAAGCAAACAATACCAAATGAATTTTCATCTCTGGTTAAAAATATGATAACATTCATTGGAAAAGATTGTCTATACTATCATCGTTACAAATATCATAAAATTACCTACAATTTCACATTTAATAAGACCATTTGTTTTTACCAGAATCAGCAGTTCTCAACAAAAATGTCTGTATTATGCTGTCGAAACTGAATTTAAGATAGTACAGAAGACAAATTACACAACATACCAACTCCTAAGGCATATTGCGTGTTAAATTACTTGATATGATGCAATCTATGTTCAAGAAAGCTTCATGAATCTAGATGCTGTACTCCTGCTGTAATTCCTACTTTTGACTTCTGTTACTCAAGTTTGTAGACAGAAGGATGATAGAGCAGTTCAAGACATTTCGAACCCTTAATCAATATTCGATACATCAATGGAAGTTATGTATTGAAAGAAAACTTTTCATAAGATATTAAACGTCACAAATCAAATTGTGTAAATGCTTCACTTATGCCAATGTTTTTAAAAAGTTATATGCCACTTTTCTCCCTCTTTTCCTGTATCTCTCTTTTTACCTTCTCAACTGAGATTTTTTTATTTCTCAATCTTCAATGATATTATCCTTAGAACCGAAAAAGAACTATTTTCAAAAAAAAGAAAAAAAAAAGAAACGACATGTAATACATCATATCAACTAATCCTGTGCACTTCATACTATGATCCTCTGATTATTTATTCACAGGCGTAGGCGAACTGACTGACAGTAATGTTTGAGTCCTTTAAACGATTTAAAAAATATTTTTTTCCAAACCATTTCTTCTTCTTCTTCTCCTTCTCATTGGTCAGTTTACATTTGAGGCAAATAAAGTTGACACAAACTGATTTGTTTAAGTATAAAAACCTGACCATAAAATGAATTTTATTCACGCACACCTACACACGCACACACACACAAAGCAAACAAACAAACAACCATAACAACATACTACTGAAATCTTTATCAATTGAGACTAAACGAAGCTGCTTATTGTTTCCTTTTTTCTCCTACAATAAATATATATAAATAATCTAATCATTTTAATTGTTTCAAAACAAAAAGCTTGAACATAATTTACTATGAAATACACGTTGATTAGTATGATTTCTATGTTGACATTCATTGTTCTGTTTACAATTCAATTACAATCAATGAAAATTAGTAAGTTTTAATAAATATTACTTATTAAAGCTTTAGATTATTTTATATTTGTTTATTTCTTATTTTTACTAAATAGATGCGCACTTCTGAGGAGTCCCATACTAGGACGAAACGGCTGTCCAGTGCTTCTAAGTTTTCCATGGTGATCTAACTTCAATTGATTCATGATTTTAATCAGTAAATTAAGTACACCTATTTAGACATTAAATAAGAAAGATTAATTCAGTGAAGAGTTCTCATTTTTGCGAATTCATTTTCAGGGCTGTACAATTGCAGATATATATACTTATTATTATTATACTTGTTTTCAGTATTATTATCATCCTGTAAAAATATTTGTGATTGTACAGCTCTGAAAATGAATTCGCCGAAAAGAGAACTTTTCGCTGAACTAATCCGTCTTATGATGTTTACAACAACAAAAAACAATTATGATTATTACAGTTTAAATGGTGATCTGATCTTGACAAGATGATCATAAAATGCCTGTTTTTTTGTCTAAGTATAAGGCTCCTTAGAACAGTTTATCCAGGTTATACAATCTCTGGGAAACTGAATTTCCCTCTGGATTCAGTTGTTGATGAGGTCGTGAAAAGATACGGATTAAGAGTTTTATATTAGGAAGAAAAATAGCTGTTTAATGGTTTCGGATTTTTAGCCAAATAGACCACTGAGCCATGGTGGTCTAGCTTCAATTGACTCATGATTTCAATCTGTGAAATTTCTAAAATCTCCACAAACCCTTTCTGATAACAATCATCTGCTCACTAGTGACTGACTTCAAGAGATACTCCTGAAGTTCTAGTGAGAAGCCGTTACCAGTGGAGTTCAACCAGGTCTGTTGTGAGATATCAGCTCACTGAACACAATGGTGTACAGTGGAGCGATTTCAAGTATTGGTTGAAGTTAGACATTAACACCGTTGGATGCCGGCTCAGTGGTCTAGTTGGTTAAGCGCCTGGAGCGAGACTGATAGGTCCTGGGTTCGAACCTCACGGGGTGAGGGATCGTGGATGCGCACTGCTGAGAAGTCCCACACTAGGACGAAACGGCCGTCCAGTGCTTCCAGGTTTTCCATGATGGTCTAGCTTCAATTGACTCATGATTTCAATCTGTGGAATATGAGCTGTGTAAACAATCTATACAAACCTATGTACTCATTATAAATATAATTGTTTTTTTGAAAGCAATACAATATAATGACACTGTTTCTCATTGAAACATAAGTCAGTTTGAAAAATTCCCATATTGTAATTTAGAACAACATATGTAAGTAAACAATATTGTTTTCTATTAGATAATCATAAGGCTTTACTCTAATATACGAAATTATTAAATCAATCAAGTCAGTTTATGAGTTAATGATAACAATGGAATAGATTACATAAATAAGTGGAAAGTACAAATTGGTATTGTGATGACAGGTTTACTAGTTGTGATATGAATAATAAAGGATTGAATCAATGGTAATATAATGGGAAATAAGTCAATGATTATATATATAATAAGATTACGCAATAAGAAGTGTTCAGATAATTGGACCGTGAAACGTACATTTGAAAGAAAAAACTAAAAGGGTAGGAGAGTGTGAAGAAAAATAAACGAAGAGAGTGTATGGAGAATAATGATAAATGAACTCATTTATTAAGGCAAAGGGAGAGATAATGGTGTTCTAAATATTTCAGTTTGTTAATTAAGTAACTACTGATGATAAGGTCTTTGTCCAGTTTTTGTATTGAATAAGTCAGTCAACTACAACGTAGGACCAGCCACATATTTGCATCGGCGCAAGTTGTTTGGAAATAGTCATGAATTCAATAAATAACATGTTGTTGATATCAGCAGTGGGAATTGGAATTGAATCTATAAAATATCTTTGAATAATTCAATAATAATTAGATGAGTTCCCACTATTTTTGATGTTTCATATCAATTACGACTAGTTATTATTTACAAAGGGAATAAAGGTTTAGATACTTTAATCGATAAAGTTGAGATGGGTACTTGAAACAGAATGTAGAATCATAAATAATAAAGGAAGATTCAGGATATGTTATTAGGTACAGTTAAAACAGATGTGTCTCTGATTAGGCTCTATTGTAACTTGTACAGTGAAATGTTGTAAACTTTTCACAAACGCACCTGAATAGATTATACGACTAAATAAGCATAATGATGTGTTAAAACAAACAAGAAAACAGATAACTGGTTGGAATATCTAGACGGTAGGAACAGGTAACCCAGATATAAAAGCATACGGTCTTGGTTATTTATTAATTATCTATGGACTTATTAATAATGTGATTTTGGAAGGTAAGGGAATAGTTGATAAACCTAATAACACAATGTCTTAAGCTATTTAATTATAGAAATGTCGCATCTAGTTGTGTTCATGAATACACAAATTATTTGGAAACCATTACCATAAACATCTTCTATGTGAACATAAATCAGTTTTCATTAACTATACTACTGAATTAATCTCATGAGTAGAACAGTTATGTTTTGTTGCATTCTGAAATCGTAATGGAAATGCGGGAAGAATATTCCTATCTGTTTTTTTTCTCTAATTCATAACGAATTAAATGAACATAAATAAACAATCAATAATTTAACTTAGGTACCTAAATTAATGGTTGCTCTGGTTGTCAGAAGGGGCATCAGCCTCGTGAATTCCAAAAGAACTCGGCTTTCATCAAGAGACGTTATAACTCTTCTTTAAGTGAAAAACTTCTAGATACCAGGGCAGAGTAAAAATGATTTTAATCACTTTGTCTGATTATCGTTTTTAGAGAGTTATTTTTCTGCGGATGGGGTCAATAATCCTATGCTCATCCCTCCTCCTTTATCCGGGCTTCGGACCGACAGTAGTCCCAGAGGGGCTCTAGGCAGAGTATTCTGACGAAGATTAGGTAATGCTACAAAAAATTATTTTTGTTTTAAAATAAAATTATCAAAAATATAACTCAATATTTGAGAAGCACAGAATCGGATTGTTTCATTCTGATCTTGAACTCATCATCAGTACATAGGTAAACAAGAAGGAGCATAAAACGTGAAAGTGTTATTCCTGATCGTTAAAGGTTCTTACCAATGAACGAAAATGCAATAGTGTAGATTTTTATTTTATTTTTATCAAGTCACGATTAAGCATAATTATTTGTTGATATTGTTTGGGGTTTATCATTTGAATTCACAGTAAAAATGAGCATAAAAGTACCGATTTGTTTTGATTCTTATGGTCTTCAAGTGCTTAGTGGTTCACCTTCAATTTTTAAAATATACGTTAAAAACGCATAAATTAAAAAAAAATAATCAAAGACGGATTATGGCCAGCAGTAGAATCCAGGGCGTGCGTTTCGTTCTATTTAGGACTCGTCAGCTGGATTTACCTGAATCTCAATGTTGATGTCCACTCTGGGAACCAGTACAGCTGACAAATCCCAAATAGGACGAAACGCGCGTCAAACTGGATTCCACTTCTAGCCACCATCCATCTTTGCTTATAATTCTAGTAAAATTAAGGCAGTATTGAGGCGATACGCACAATATGCACATATGCCAATAAGAGACTGATCAAGTGCCGTCCTAAATAACAATGAGAAGAATCAAACAAACAATGCCAAGTGAATCTAAAGATATAATGATTAAAATTAAATAATTCAAATTGATGATCTTTAAGACGGATGAAAATATAGCAACTCTCGTATAATCCATTTCGATTATGGTTAAATTTTGTTAATCACTTTTTATTAACTTAGTAGACAATGTTATTCGGACAGTAACAATTCTCATATTTCTTTGTACAATTATGATCACTATCTTGTCTGTATAAATATATACTCTTGATAACATGTAAGAGTTTATTCACATGTCTCTCTAGCTAAAATGTTAATCGCTCAAACATCACTCGATGGTTCATTCTGTTCTCCATGTAAATATATATGTACTCGAGTCCCATTATTAGCCTTTGCCTCACCTAGCTGCGTCTTATTTGATTTGACTATAAATTTGCCTCTGTTTTTGCTTGCATACATAAATTCGCTTTTCGGCTTCAAACTCACTTGAGATGCTTGGAGCTTTGTGATTTGTGCTATCCGCTAATAAACTGTAGTCACCACTTCTTATTACCTTGTGATTTCAAACACAGGATTTACATAATAACAGTTATCAAAGTGGTTGGTTAACAATTCTAAGTCATTACAAAAATAAATTGCGAAATTCTGGTTCTTACGTAACAAGTTGTTGCAATTAACTGATTATATAATTTTATCTTTAGATATAAGTTTAAACCTGTTGAGTTGCTAACCCATTACTATTTTGTGAAATTGAACAACTACCATTTATTTCGTGTTATTTGTATTCTTAAACGCGAAAATCATATATTTATGAAGAGGCTAGATCTAGAATTATTTGGAAAGGAATATTTCTTTACATACGCGCACTGCTGAGGAGCCCCATACTTGGACGAAACGACCGTCCACTGCTTCCAGGTTTTCCATGGTGGTCAAGCTTCAATTAACCCATGAATTCAACTATTAAAAATGTTTCTTTATTCAATTACTATTTTATACGAGAATATTAAATATACGGAAATAAATTTCAGACAACAATTATTTATACTTTAGAGGAATATAGAAAATGTACCGCGATAGTTTTGAACTTTGACTATAGTCATCTTCATGGACATGTTAAAAGAGAATTCTTGATACCGACCATAGAATTAATGCCATAACACTTTATGCCTGTTACAGTTAATTATCCGTAGATTTATGTATATTTCAAAGTGCTTGACAACAGTTAGTTTTTACATTGAACCCTGTAATGATAGTCTTTGGTTTTAATAAATGTCAAAGATAGTGTTATCACTTTTATTTATTTTATGGTAAATCGCATATTACTTGAAGGTCATTGCAATCATCAGTAGATATGTGTTGTACTGTTTTGTTTATTTACACACACAAAAAAAACACTATGACAAGTCGGTGTCTTCGCTTGTT